GATACTCTTATTCGCCCCCTTCGAGCGAAGATTTTCGCAAGAATATATGGGATCGAAACATTTTCGACGAACTTTAGTTACTCTACACATATTCATCATCAAGCCTTTTCCACATCAATTGATCTGATTTTGTTGTTGCTCACCTTTTGGCGTCTTTCACCTGACAATAGTAACAGAGGGAGGTTTACAGTGACCAGGGAGATTTGAATTAACTGCTTAATAGGGGGACACCGATTCGCATGGAATTTGCAGGCTTCGTTAGTTGTTAATTATCGTTGAAAAGGGATTCAGCATTTCGTCACCTCTCCTCTTGCAAGCTTCGTGGAACGTCTGATGCATCCACTCTTATTCCACTAACTCCTCTACGCGTCCCTTTGCCCCTATGCGTCTTTTTTTCGCGGTTCCCACGCGTGGTAGGTACGGTTTTCCGGATATTCTGCGAGTTATCAATAGTTTCCCGAAATTCGGGGGATCAACGCGATTACGAGAATTAAGTGATTTCGAGATAAACTGGCGGAACAGCCCGAGCAGTCCGGCCCGATGTCTTCCAAGTACGCCATTAACAGTTACGTTGAATTCAATTTAACGCAAAATTGGAGTTTGCCTCTCTGGGGTTCTCAATTGTTGAGGTATTACGTCTGGTATTCGGTTCGGGTAGCACGTGGCTTCGTTAACGCGGTAATCACTCTGTGTTTGCGATGACTTTTCGAGCTGGGGAACGGGATAAGTGTCAATCGGTACGTTCTCGAAACCGTGACTAATCAAGATTTATACAGAGAGGACCTTCGTTTGTTCTGAAGATAGGAAATAAAGTCGAAAAATGAAGGATTCGCAAAGATGGTGTGAATACCATTAGAAGAAACATTTCGGGGTCATATTTCAAGAGATTTCGAGGTTCTAGACATTTTTCTGAGGAGACATATTTTCATCGATACAACATTGTTAGTCAGAAAAAATTTGTGACATTTCATGGGAACTGTATCAAATATATTGATCTTCTAACGACTCGAACAAATAAATTTGTCAAGAATATAAATTTGCCAATAAGTAAACCTGAACAAGTTTTATGGAAATTACCTGGAAAATTGTTAAAGTTAATTGATGTGTCACCTCGAAAATACTTGGCCCAAAAAGTGTTCTCTCGCGAAAACACTTTTCCAATCTACAGTGATCGAACCCTGAATTTTTCAAGCCTGTTCTCGATCCATCCAATACCTTATCGGGTACGACGCAAGTTCCAGTCCATCTCCCTCGTCAAATTCAATTCATTTCCGCGGTAGCTGCGATACCGTGAGTCTTCAGCTTGTCGCGCGTGAGAATGACACGCATGCTCGAGTACGATGCTCGCTTCTTAATGGATTTTCGCGCGGCGACGTGCTCGTCGATGGCCGAGGAAAATTATCCGCGCTACAGAATTTCGGGGGTTGATAATACACGATAATAAGTAATTTTGTCGTTCGAATCAATTTTCATTCGAATACATTTCTACTGAGACAAATTCAGGTTGAACAGGTAGCTTCATAGCATGTTAAGCGTTTAAAAAAAAAAATCTGGTTTCAATTATTGACCACAAAGTATTCCAAATTTGAGCTGGATTAAAAAATACTCCAGCATGCTAGCCAGTAGGTGAAACAGTCTTTAAGCTTCCCTCCCCCATGAGAGTCAAAGCTTTACTGTCAGGTAACTGCTGAATTATTGATTCTCTGACTTCGAGGCCAAACGTCGATACCTTCGTAATTCCAAGCTCCGTCGCTACGCAAAAATCGTAGAACATCGGAAGTCGAGCGTTCTATTCGCGCATGTATCCTCGCGTGAAGCGACTTGGTTCGTCTCGTCGCGGCGGCTTAAATCGCGACTCGCTCGCGGATCCATTATTCAGCAGGCAGGATCAGAGGTAGGCAGCACGTGGTCTAGGGCGAGAATGCGTAATAATTCGACGGAATGGCGGTTGTATTTAACACGACGACCGATTCCGGCGGGTTGGGAATCGGCTGGCAGCCGAGTGGCGGGCGTATTAATTTTGTGGGGCGGAGCGGAACGCGGAATACGCTCGGAGACGTTCCTCGTCCTGCTCCCTCGCGCGCACTGCGTACACAGTTGCAGCCTAATTAATAATCTAAGACTATTTAATCTAGAGGCTGTGTGATCAAGTGGCTGCGAGAGCTGGAGAAAGCCATGGCGTTAATCATCGAGGTATCCCACTTTCTTCGCGGACCTATTCTCCTCTCTTCGTCGAGGTCGTCTACCTCTTCATCTTCCCCGACGTCCGACATCGATCAAACCGGCGAACGTCGATGGAGAGTTTTTTTTTTCCCCAGGAACGAGATAAATCGCAGGTGATTACCGAAAGAAGATTTTGGCGTTAGACCAGTCATCATCGCGAATCGGGCGATTTTTCTACCGAGTTCGTTTCAGACTTTATTCAATCCTCGTTGTTCTCTGACGTGTCATCAACAACTCCGTGATCGAACGATATACTGGGTGCACTGGGTTCGTTCTTATTTTTCTTGTCGACCGACTGAAACTTTTTTTACTCGGAATGATAAAGGTTAAACAGGATTTTCGAAGTTGTGAGATTTCGAACTTTTATGTGTGCTTCATTTGCTATTTTCGTAGACATTCATTGACGTAGAAATTAATTAGTGTATCAATGTTTATGACTTTAACGAGACAAAATTTGTATGTTCAATTCTATTTGTTCTACATATCTGTAACAAATACTGGACTGAATATTAGCTAAATGATAAACAAAGTACATACAACAATGGAAAACGATCTTGCTGAATTTCAAAAAGAAATCCTTCGTCATCCACGATGAAATAATGTTGATCAGATAAATAAGAAGGAAACAATTGAACAGGTTGCACACCATTTCACCCAGTATACATCCGCGTGGAAACAATACTAATATTTATTCGATCTAAAATTAGGTGCTACCATCTCGAATCTAGTGGAATATAATAATCAATTTAATTTTCGCAAATGGTTGGCGTATCGTCGAACCCAATTAACGCCGTGGCTTCCGTAAACATTGGTAAAATGAACATGACGTATGTATATGCAATTAATGTTTCTGCGTTTTCGCAATTCATGTATAAAAAGTGTCTGAAAGAACGCGCGCGAGCCGACCGGCGTTTTCCAAGAGCCTCCCATGGAACCGTGAAACGCAAATAGCGCAGCGCGGGGGCGTTTGTATTATCGAAAACGTTGCGGAAAACCGGTCGACTCGCTGGGAAAAAAAAAAACGTTATCTACGGCTAGGATCGAAAAACCCTTTGGGAAGTATTTATGTACACATATATGACTATTTATATGTATAAGTATGTACAGAAGTGAAAAAATGTAAATATACAAAGGTAAATAGATCGCATTGGACAAAGTACTGTGTGTTATTCGGATTGAAAAAAAGACGCATGCACTTCAGAGACTTGGTTATGCATGTAAAATATAGTATATTAAGCGTATGTTATATGGTTATGTGTATACAATGTGTACGTGTGTAATATATACTTGTTGAGATGCGAAGCAATACTGGGATACTGTTTACGTACCCTCGGAGTCTTTAAATATATTACTCGCAATCGGTAAACGTCATTGTGAAAAAGAAAGGAACGTACGTAATGCGATTTACGCATCGACGACATATTTTAGCCGCCGTGGATTTCTGAAACATTCTCAAAATTGTAATTCCTCTCTCCAAGGCTTCCGCGGATGTGTGTCCCTTGATTGTTTAATTTTCGATTGTTTAGTTTTACATTTAGGTTAAATGGCTTGCTTTAGAATCGATATAATTCTTAATCATCGTGGTCTGAGCCAGATTTATTTAAACGTTGTAATTCCTGACGGAAAAGGACCCTAGGATCTAGAGTAACAAACGTTTAAATACAGCTTGCCCAGACTACAATGCTTATGAATTATAAGTCACGCTTCATTTTATTTTTACGTTTACGTTTATTCGTTTTTTATCGTAGTTTTTACATTTTCTTCCTTTCTTCCCGTCGGAGAAACCGTCTCCAGGTGGAAACTGGACGTTTCCTTGCGCAGCTTCCGATGCCAGAGTTCGAAACTAATACGGATTACGGAAGTCCAGTAAACATTGATGAACCGAATCTGAAAACTCGCTTTAAAGTCGACAGCTTAACATTCGCGGCGATGCAGACCGGTGTAATTGCAGCTCGAATGCATCGGATTACGCGAACGTATTGCGTGTACCGCGAATTAGCTCGATTTTGCAGTTTCCGGGCTTCGCAAGGGGAAAAATACCACGAGCAGAATTCGGGCTCGTCAAATATTCCGGTTTAGAGTCTCATGACTCTGCATCGTCAATCTGCATTGCATTTCCAATCGCGTCAAACATTCCTCGAGCAGTTCTAATTAAATTCCGACTTCTAAACAGCTTCTGTCTCCAATAATCACCTTGGAATATTCTAGTATTTCCCAATGAAACGTTTGTTTCTGTATTTTTTTTTAGACAATAATATTGAGCAGAAATAGGTACTATACAAATATCAATTAAATGTCATATGTCCTTCAGTACAATCGCAACAAAATCGAGTAATCAATGGTACACGATACGCGAATAATGACAGTCTCATTTAAACTTGTCTGAAATAAGTTTATTTCGACGTTTATATCTTTTAAAATGTTGTTTTTATCAAAGTTTAACACCGTAACACGAGATCACGATTTTCGCAATATAATTTCACATCACTCTGCGGAAGTTCGCGCTAAAGTTTATCGAAATTCCTTTCAAGAACGTTTTAAGCCCGGATATTCTTCAAGTTCCGTCAAGACAGAAATTATTAACCCGAAATTCTTTTATTTCGCAAATACCTTCGTGAGTTTGTTTACTTAAATAAATTTAGCCGTTAATTTAATATTTGCCCGGCGAAGTGAACGTTCGAGTTTTAAATGAACTTTTTAATTGGCGTATTAATTAGGTTCATCGTTTTATCGCGCGATGCCAAATTCTTAAAATAAATGTAACAAGATCGAGTTACCTGTTGTACATGAGAATGTCTGGCTTCCAAAGCTTGTTAGGTGTAATTCGAAGGTCCTTCACGCCCCCGTACTCGGACTCGTTCCACTGAAGATTGTAGTCCTTCCACTCCTAAAAAATGAATGAAAATGGCTCGTGGAGTAAATGCAAAATTCTTGTCGCTGAGACAAATAATATTTTGTTCAATTTGGATATTGTGCGACGCCACTAATTCTGCGCTGACTCGAGCATTTAAATTCTGAGACTTTTTAATTGGTTGGTTCGAGTATTTCCTTAAGATAAATTTGAATAATGATTTTACTAAAGAGAAAAATTGCAATCAATTCACTATAGTTTTCAAACCAGTATTAAATAGTTTCTAATATTTCATCTATAGTGATCCATATATAATTTAATACGTGCATCCAGAGTTGGCAGTCAAATATTATTATGATTAGATGCGGATCCATTGGGCCATACTGGAAGCTTAATGAGCATAACAATCTGCCCTGCATGGTCCAATAAATACTTATCTAATAACGCATTATTAGTGGCAGTCAAACTGTACATTTCATTTCATATATTGCAGTCCATATCTCACTCTCGTCAACGTGGGTTTAATAATATTAAATGTTTCGAGCGCCATATTAAATTTTATAGTGGAACTATGGGATTTGGTCGGTACGGTTTGGTCAAGAGGTTTGAGATTCACATCAGATTCCCCGTGAAATTGCGAGCCAGCGTAGACGCAGACGTTAGAAGGGACCGCGAGCAGTTCTGTATATTTAAATGCGGCGACTTTCGAGGAATGCGCGACCTGGTTTTATGACGGCGGTGTGGAAACTGCATAGAAAACGCGGCGTTTTATAATGTATACTTCAATTTCCGGGGCTGGATGGCGAGTCTCGGGCGTTTGCTCATTAGATTACGCGGCTGAATCGTACAAACGAGGAATTCAGAGGGTGAAAGTTCGCCTACCCGGTAGACGCATCGTGTCTGCTTCAAGATTTTCAAGTTTCTTTCCCTAGGCGATCTGACGTGCCGTGAGCCGCCCTCGCCCATGGAAACGAGGCGTAACGAACGCTCTTTCGGCGTTTCGTCTGAAATAAAATTTCGTCCCAACGGTTCACCGAGTGGTTTCTATTTGCTGCCGGTTGATACCGCCCCCGAAAGCGGTTCCGCGTTTTCCGAGATTAAACGATCGCTTCTTTTTCGCCGCTGGGAACCTGTGCCGGGACTTCCTGTGCTCGCGTCGCCTTCTTGAAAACGGTTTTCGTCGTCTTGACTTGGGGATATTAAAACTTCAGCGCGGTCGCAAGGGCGTAACTATTTTTAACGCTCGTAACTCATCAATAGTAATCCATATATAATTTAATGCGTGCACCAAAAAATTGTATACTCGTGTTCGCGTCTCAGAATCTGTTTTCCTATTTAAACCCTTCCCAAAGGTCAACGAATTATCGCACAGAAAATATTGCATTATATTTCGAAAGCCAGTACATCCTCGTAATTTTTCCAACGTAAAACGCGATCGCCTGTTACATTTTAACACGAGAAAGTTGACCGAGCTTCAATCTAACCGAAATTTAGTTACGGTTTATGTTGCGAGCTAGAGGATCAAAATTGTTCGCTCGTAACTTCATTTCAGAGACGCGACGGATCGATTAACCGATAAATCGTTCTCCGTCGATATTGCACGGCTTCCGGTCTCAGGTGTCTTTACCTTCTTCGGTGGGAGATAGCGGAAAACTTTATGGGAAAACGATTGGGCCTCACCGCGGATGACTATAAGGAAGAGTATTATAAGTTCGCGCCGCCGCGTTCGCGAGCAAGTTTCTAACGGTATCGACGGAATAACTTTCATTAAAGTTCGGATTAAGTATATATCCGTATAACGAACGCTGAGTACACTTACAACTTCGCATAATCGTACTTTTATGTGTCCCATCTGCGTGTGTAGAAATATTGTTCTTCGTGAACATACTGGGAGGGATAATATAATTCCTCCATCTCTGACTATGGCTAACACACTATGAAAATTCAACTCTGAATTCGATGGAGGTATGAGCAACACGGTAACTGTTATGGAATAATATTAGGAGAATATGTTTTCTAAGTTTCTGTATATCTTACAATATATATTTATATTTGTTGTAATTATAATTATGTTAACATAATTGGGTAATTCTATTGGTATATATCTTTAAAGACATGCAAATATATCGTAAGAGTTATATAAAAGAAGGGAATGTAGGACACTGTCATTATTCAATTTTTTTGTTTACTTTGATTAGAATGCTAGCATACAAGTATACAAATTTTCACACAAATTTGACGTTTTTGTAAAACTTCGGCGTCGTCATTGTCGAGGATGACTCATAATTGGATTCGGAAACCACGCGAAACGAAATTCGCGGTCTCGAAAATGGCCATGTATCAAATGTCATTCAATTTCGGGCTTATTTGACGTATACGCGATTTTTATCACTTTTTAATCGTTTGCAACCAGTGGAACCTTTCTGTGCGTGCGATGGCCGACAGCTGCGAGCGTCGAGTAACGGATGATCAAAACGAAATTTTCTATATTACTGTTTAAAATTGTTCCATTCCGAATTTCTCTCTTTGACTAAAAAAAAATATACTCGCGTGGCTGAGAACCTATCGTCCCAAATTTCTTTTAGAAAAATCGTCGAAAGTATTGATTAGGAAGGATGTAAGGAGACCTTGGAGGGTCGACGATTTAGTCCGGCATCGTAACGCCTGCTGCAGGCACAAATTACTGGACGCTGTCCACATTCTGCTTACTCGTGCCACATTCTTCTTAGCCCTGGACTTTTCCCGTGAGCTTCGTATGTTACCTCAAACATCGTGGCGACCTCTACCACGAACAAATCGTTAATTCTCCCCGAAAATACGGTGGCAGAAACGAGGAAAATTCTTGCGGTCTCGTTTCCCATTTGTCGTGATACCTGAATGGGGTTCGTCCCCTTGGAAAAGTTATATATCTCAATCGGATTAGTCCCCGCAAATGCCCATCGTTTGTGCAGCAATGGATTGCCGCATCCATCTTCGAATGACCACAATAGTGGACGTATGCACTCGACTGGCTCGCTGGCGTGCATTAATGCAACGCGTGCTTTCGGTTGAGGCCGAGAGTGGATGGCGATCTTCCGAAACCGCAACCCTGATTCGAGCGTCGTCGCGACCATACTAATCGAAGGACTGGATCGAAGGAGACCCGGTCTTTCGAGAGAGACCCAACTCTGTGCCATACCGGAGAACCAATGGTATTATAGAACACTGCACGCCCTGATGCGGCAAGAATCGCGATGGAACGACGAACCACATTAAGGCCTATAACTAGCCTGCTACCCTCGAAAACAGGTCAATTTTGAGGAATTCCTGACACGAAAACCGCATAATATCAGCGGTTCAAATTTGAATATGGTTTGAAGTATAAGGTTTCAGGATTCCAGGCTTTTCAATAATGAAAAGGACACTCAAAAGACATTATTTTTCAAGTTTTTCTAAAGAAAAAGAAATCTTTCTTAACAAATATCAAATCCATTGTTGTTAATAATTATTAAATATATAATTAAGCATTTATACCGAATAGCGCTTAAACTACGATCGCGACTCCGTACGAGCGACGCCCTTAGAAATTCCATCGAAATCGTCTCGCAGTGAAACGGTTAACGAATTTCGATGTTTGGAACTCGCGTATCATCTGTCAGCTCCCGGTCGCAAGCGACTATTAGCCACGCGATTTGTAACGAACGAAACCCTTCGTACGCAGCAGCGATCAAAGCTAGCAACCCAGAAAATCGACGAAATCGGCCTAGCTCGGGCGTCGATAGAAATCTCGTAGGACGATTACGCGTCGAGGCGGCAGCGTGCGCCGAGGTCGAGAGAAATTATTGATCTTGTTAGGGTAATTAGAATTATCGGGTTATGCGGCGAAGGAGATTGCCCTGACGGAGGAGTGGTAACTTGCGTGCAGCTCGGTGCGGGATAGATTACGAGCCAACGGGTTTTGGAGCGGCAAACCCGGGACGTGTGCTGTATGTCGCTTGAATTGTTCATTTGACGACGCCCTCCTTCCCCGGCTATAGACCTCGCACAACCGTGCGCCTCTGGATTAAACGTTTTCGTGGAAGACCTCTGAAGATCGTTAATTTGCTGGAGACAGGCAAAGAGATGTCTCGGGGTGTTCCAGTCGCGAATATCTGATTCTCCGCCGCGGGTGGGCACTGTTAGCTAATACTATCTACGGTAAGGACTACGATAATGGGAAGTATCGTTAAGTGACCTAAGACAATTCATCTAATTAAAGTAACTCAAGGTTGGAATTAACAGGATCCATTTGCTTGCATCGAAGATCATTGAAAGAAACGATAGGGACTTTGCAGTATCATTGTTGGATAGATCACGCTGACAAACGGTTCTCTTGAGCAGTTTTAAGGCCGTTGGAAAGCTTTTCGCTTGAATTCGACAATTCCTTGCTTCTCCAATTATTCGTTTCGTATTCCGACGATCGGCCACTCAACTTAAAGTTTCTTCCAACCACTCGAACAATAAAAACCGGAAATTCTGTGAAATCGCTTTTTGATAGCTTTACCGAAAGTGTTCCATAATATGCTGTGCAAATTCCCTTGCTCGAATGTAGAAGTGTGCGAAATTCTATTTCGGTAGTAACCGACGAATAAGATGAACATGCGGCAATTTATTACGTTTATTCAGTGGAACGGGTCTTTATCTGTTCGTTGTGAAATATTTAATTCTATAATCCAAATTCCAATCTTTATTCAACGAGCAACGACCTAAAAATGTGTTCATATTTTATTCATTGTAAATCGTACAGTACATCGAAAAATTTGCCAAAAATGTTTAACTATGGGCCTTCGTGGATTAATAATTCCACGGTTATAATTGGTGCTCTTTGTACTTGTGTAATTAATACGTGAAAAGATTCGAGTTTTTGAATAACTTGGCAGTTCAGTCTTAGCACTTCATCTACCAGAAGTTTATTTATAGACCTTTAACGATGTTTAACAGTGAACACAGGCGTTAGGGTCGACGTGATACAGCTCGCGAGGTTCTCAGTAGAAATACGCGTGAACGTGAATTTTACC